TGATGATGATGTGTGCTTTTAATCAAGAAAAGATATAAAGCCGAACGAAAAGTATATTAGCAAACTTGACAATATAACAAATACAAACAAAACGTGAACGTTGCGGCTATTGAGCCTTCATCGGCACATACAAATTAAACAATACTAAATAGATACACAAAATCACTTAGCTGGTCTCTTTTTATCAGACCACGATGTTCGAGGGATGTGGAGTATTCAGCCGCCACATTTTTGGACCACGGCCTAATAAGATGGATTAGCATAAGCCGCTTTACGACTCCATCTTCCCCAGACATTTCCCATTAAATTCTGGAAAAAAAAACCCAACTCATTTCAAAAGGTCAGGTCGATCTAGGGACACTTTTTAGTGGCTATGGGTGGGATCATGCTACTCAAATGATTCGACCCTAACTGCGACCCTACAGTTAATGCTCTAATCACTTATGGCTACTTGTAAAAGTATGAGATATGGGTTAAAAACCTAAACCGTAGCACTCGGGACATTCCCATAAGTGTTCTGTCCTCATTGTCAACAGCAAGTGCAGAGTTCCAGTTTCGATGGTTTCATTAACAATAATTTTTACATCTACCTCATAACCTCCCCCCCCCCCCCCCCCCAGTGTTGATCGTCGGCCAGACCCCCTAGTCCAGCTGTTCTCAAACTGGGGGCCGCGGCACCGAGGGGCGCTGGGACAATAATCAAGAATTTTTTTTAGATTCTGCTTGAGATAGCGATGACTCCACTTTAAATCAGAAATACCGCGAAGGAAGCCAAGGAGAGTTTTGGATGAAAGTGTATTCAGAAAACAATGCTTACAGTTTAAAAAAAAATACAGGAGCAGCCTTCAGCTGATTTGAGGGTACAATTAGTTAAACTTCCCTAAACATAAAGGACCGAATGAAAAATTTACCCAGACAGTTTCATTCATCCCATTACAGAAAACTGAACCTTAAATTTTTTTTTCTTTCTTTTCCTAAATTTTCAAACCGCTTTAAGGGTAGGCGTGCTGTGGAATGTTTTTGCTCGACAAGGATCCCGCGGCGAAAAAGTTTGAGACACTCTGCCCTAGTCACCTCTCGGTGCACTATTCTCCCCTGTTTGTGGTGATCTTTTGGTTCCTCCGCACTGTTTAGTTGTTCACAGAAGACCTTACAACATCTAGCCTGTCATAAATCAATTTTCCGCCAATTTTAATATTTGTTTAATCCTCGCAGACAAAGCAAAGGAGAAAAGAAGAATTGTGGCAATAAATAGTAAGTGCTTGCGAAGAATAAGTAAAAGCCTATCTTACTGGGTAAAAGTCCTGAGATCTGGGGGATTTAAAAATAGTAACAGGTAAGGAGCACTTTTCAGTCTCAATACGAAGTGCTGCAACAGTTATCTCCAGAGGGCGGATCAAAAGAATTTCAATTGAATCTTTTAACGAAGCTTTTAGTAAAAGGGAACGAGGGGAATCAGTCACAGTTACGATGGCTTTGATTGACATTTTGAAGAATGGGAGAGAATCGGCTATCGCAGCAAGCATGGGTGCCCAAGAACCAGAGAACCACACCACCAGGACAACCCATGGTCCGCTTGGAAGACAACATCCGACAGTCCCTGGCAGGCAGAGGACTGGAATGGAATTAAGTCAAAAAGAAAACAGCTGATAGACAATTATGACAAATCTCTACACCTCAAGGGTAGAAGATGATCGATTCATTAAGTTAGTAAGTAAGCAGATGATCGATGTATTAGGTTAGTAAGTAAGTAAATAGTAAAGGCAACATATAAAGACATGAAATGTCGAGTTCTTCATGAGGGAAAGCTAACAGATGCATTTGAAATAAAAACAGGTGTGCGACAGGGATGTCTTTTGTCGCCTCTCTTATTTTTTACTGGCTATAGACTGGACTATGAAAACAGTAACTGCTAACACCAAGAATGAAATTCAGTGGACCCCTACAAAACAGCTTGATGATCTGGACTTCGCTGATGATATTTCTCTTCTGTCCCATTCACGGAATCAGATGCAAGATAAATTAAATATACCTAATGCGAGATCACAGCATAAAGGAAAGACAAAGATAATGAGAACAAATCAGGCAAATAGTAATGTGGTTTCTCTTAATGGCACCCCACTTCAAAACGTGGAGTCGTAAACCTATTTAGGCAGTAATGTAGATAAAGATGGAGGAACTGATGGAGATATTGAAATAATAATACAAAAGGCAAGAGGGGCTTTCATAGCACTAGGGAATTTGTGGAGGTCAAAAGAAACTAAAAGAAATACTAAACTAAAAATGTTTAATTCTAATGTCAAATCAGTACTATTGTATGGGGCGGAAACATGGAGAACAACCAAGGCAATTACAAATAAATTACAGACATTCATTAACTGGTGCCTGCGCAGAATAGAGGGAATAAAATGGTAAGATAGAATAACTAATGTAGAACTTTGGAAGAGAACTAAACAGGCTCCAGTAAATCGGGAGGTGAGGAAAAGACGCTGGCGTTGGATAGGGCACACACTGAGAAAACAGTAGAACATCATAACTAGAATGTCTTTGCATTAGAACCCACAGGGGCATAGGAATAAAGGAAGGCCAAAAAACACATGGAGTAGAGAGCTGGAGAATGAGGTTAGAAAGATGGGGAGGACATGGGGAGAACTCCATGCAATGGCGAAGGATAGAACGACTTGGCGTGAGTTGGTTGAGGGCCTATGCTCCATTGGGGGATAGAAAGGCAGAAGAAGAAGAAGAAGAAGTAAGTAAAGGGTCCTTTTCCGAGTTTTCAAGTGTATTGGGCATATATGACTATACCTATATTTTGTAGACCAATAAGCACTAGTTGGGTGATTTGATCAACAAGTCAGTCAGTGAGTAAAATCATATATCTTATAAGGGGTTATTTTAATCTCTGGTTTGCTAGTAGACTGAATCAGTGTCGTGAAATTATGTTTGTCTAAAAACGTGTGTCACCAGTTTGAAACGATTGTACAACTCTGCTTTATATATTCCCCAGATGTCGTCAGATAAATTTCATGCTGGCGGGAGCCCACGCCTGAAGCAAGAAAACGGTATCTACCTAACTCAAATGAAACAAGTATGCCTATTCAATTGTTGTTGTACAAGATTGGAACTGCCAAGTCAGTCAGCATTTCCCATGAGATTCGCAGCTTGTAAATCATATGGAAAGCAATTTTAGCATATCGTGGGCCATTATTTGCTGAATGAATATAATAAATCAGCGAAATGGTCATGCACATCAGTGAATAGGATATTTAACGAGGACTAGATATGTCTGTGTGCATTCTGAACGGCGACAAGAAGATAGACATTTAGTTTTTCATGAACAGTCATGAAACTATGAAATATGTGAATTACTTCTTTGGGGGCGTTTTGTATCATAAGAAATCGGGACATAATTCTGTGTTTGATAAAAAATCAGCCCCTTCAAAGTTAGTAATGATTTTGTATATGTTAACAAATCGAGCTTTCAAATGCTAGCGTTGATTTGTAGCCAAAATGAATTATGAGTTTAAAATGCTAATAATGTGATTTTTAAGAAATCAGACATCAGAGGTATTAAATATTAACAATGATTATGTAAGGTTAGATAATAAACCGTGATTTTAAAATTTTAAATTCATTTGAATGGGTTTTTAACGGAGTAAAGTTGTTTAATTCTAAACGTTAAGCTGAAATTAGAAATCCTTTGAGAGGGTGCTTGTAAACAGTAAGAATATCATTTAATAATAATAATAATGTCAGCATATTGGCTTAAATCATCATCAAAATACAATTTCTTCTTCTTGGTTTCACCGGCTGTAAAAGTTCTAGTTCACAACTGGACTTCGGTCTTAAACACAGTTTTTATTTTTTTTATTTTTTTAACGAGAAAAGAAGAGTATAACTAGTGGTACCATTTATAAATTAGAAGAATTGAGTTGCTGCATTTTACCTACCAACAAAGATATTTATACGTGAATAAGAAACGAGAGTTTTTTTTTTTTTATAATTATTTATAACGTTTGTTGCAAATCATGATTTCAATTTTATATAGTGCTTTTGTAAATACTAATTTGGCATTTAAATTAAACTTATTTTATCTTCAAAATGAAAATTTGATTCTTAAAATGGCAAAAATATTCATGAAAGAAAAGATGCTTTGATATGTAGAGGGAGGCACAGATATTACTATTATATTAACGAATATAGTTTTTGTGTAGAAAAAAGTTTAAAATATGTAGAAAGATATATAGTGGGTACATTTTTACTTGTATCATTATAAACTGTCGAGTTAAAATAAAGATTATATAGGTTTTCTAAAGCTAGAGAAAAATATGCCCAAAAATATTTGTCGGACCAGTTTTGTTTATCATTCACTAAGTGAACTTGCTGTATAAGGTATGCATTGTAATCGACATGTTTCCTGGAGAAAGGAAAACGTATAAATTGATAATTGGCGTTCATTGTAGGGAAATTATGATAATCTACCAGGCTTCTGTCAAAGGCTAGCACACTATCAATAAATACTTGAAATTTGTAGAAATAAGGCACGAGCAACATACTGCATAATGTATTGCTTGGCATTTTTCGCGTTATCTTGTCAAATGCATACATCAGTCACAACTGAATATATTGAAGCAAATAGCTGAATCTTTCTAAATGCAAAACAAAGTCAACTACACTCAAAAGTAACTGCCATGTTTTAAATGGGCAAACTCATGTTCACGACTATGTCTTTGCGTCTGCACAAAGCGGGAGGAAATATTTGACACTAGCAAGGACAAGTTCGCAGCTGACCAGTATGGAACGAAGAATTGCTTCATCTCTCTGCCAGAAGTACTTTTCAGAGTGTTATGCTGACAACAGACTATTTTGTCTACATCCTCTATTATAATCACCATCTTCGCCAAGTGTACATTCAGTCTTATTTCTCTTCCAAATTCTAACTGTGTGAATCACACAGTCGAGTCAAAGAGAGTTCATCAAATCCACACCAACATTCCTAAATGAATTTCACAGATTCCCTTGCTGATGCTAAGATGAATTCTAGTGACCTGGATTCTAACAGCACCTCTGGCACGTATTTCCATCCGGTGGTCGTGCCTAGAGATTTCCGACAAGACAGCCTTCGAGACACAACAGACACTTCTCTGGTGCTCATATCCAACAAACCATGTAGCGAGGCCTTTTCATCTCAGACTCCGTCTGCAGCCAAGCTTCCGGGCTCGCTTGATGCCCTTCTGTACATCGTTATCGTGCTAATGTTTTATGCCTTCAGTATTGCCATCCTCATGGTCAAATACATTCGTCGTGAGAGAGAGGAAGCTAATCTCAGAAACTACTATCATGAGTTCGTATCCAGGGATAAGTTTCGATCAGCTCAATATAAAAATACCCAGTTCATGAAAAGAATTTTTGGGAAAAACGCCCCAAAAGAAAATCATATACTTCCTACGGTAGAAGAAGAATTGTGGAATAGTCCAAATATTCAAAGAAATACGAGTAAACATAAAAACCAAAACCAGACAATCACACGGAATGGAAATACTTTCACTAGATTGACTGTTGATGGTTGCTATGAAAAGGCTGTCAGAGAAAGCTTTACATTTCTCAGCGCTAAGAATCAGTTTTGTAAAAATGGATTTTTTGGAAAAAAATTCTGCAACAAGCAGCTTTGTTCCAAGTGTGTGTCTGAGAGTGTACCTACTATTGACTGGGGCGATGAGAGGGTTAACTGTATAACAGAGGTTAAAAATGAGCACGAATGGAGCAGCACAGTAGAAGTTCGCTTACTTCCTGTAGAAGACCCACCGACTGAAGGCAACTCCTTTCAGACATGTTACCAGAACGATGCAAGTGAACGGAATTACCAGTTCGATGGGGGAGACAGTACGTTTTTGCCTATAATAGAGTGTGATTCTGATAAAGAAGGTGGGAGTGCTGAGAACTACCAAAGTATCCCAACAAAACGGAGCACTGATGAGATTCTGTTGCATTCTAATTATACAACGGCACCAGAAGAAATGGCCCTTGTTTCTTCTTGTTCTTTAGAGGTGTCCGAACTCCTAGCCAATATGCCTCCTTTGGGAAAAGTTAACATTAGCAACGACATGGACACTCTTGATGGTCTGTCTAATTTTGACAGTGAGGCGGACAGCCAGTCACTGCTGAATTACTCCGCCAGCATCAAAGGTAGTAATAATTTCTTTGACAGTCTAAAAAGAGGAAGTCCCGCCTTTAAAACTAAAAGCGTCAACGGAGAAGAAAGACAAAAGGATTATCTCAGTGATTTCCTATCTGAGAGAACGTCCCTTCTTTCCTGCACCTTGTCCATAGATGATGGAGAAGAGGAGGATGCTGTGACACACTTGAGCTCACATAAACATCATCCAAATGGATTATCTATTTCTAACAGTAATGGAAAAGTAAAGGAAGAATTCAAAAGCAATGGAAAATCTATTCTAAACTCTCTTTCGAAATCCGTGAGTAGCGATGAGGACGAAGTTATGAAAATTCTGAGCGATTTTACCTTATTGACTGAAGAGTCTGGCGTATTTAAGAATCTCAAATATTTTCTTCGGAGCTTCTCCAAACACGAAGATATTGGTGGCGTGCACGAGAAGTCCACCCTACTCCCTAGAGAAACATACTTCGGCCCCGGCAGTCCTAAGAGCTACTACAGCGACCCCCAAACCACAGCTGCACCCACAAAGTGTAATCCCCCGAACCAGAAGTCTTTCTGTCTGGACATGGATGCAATAGACGACGATTTGCTGACTATAGACGAGTATGAGAACTACGGCAACCGTTGGGGATATACTTACGACGAAGAAGATGAAATTTATTCTGATGTCGACAAGTCTTCCAGTTTTGGCGAGTACTGTATGGGCGAGACCACCGCATCGCAGGTGATAGACATTAGCAAGCCACTTATCCGTCGACAGCTCGATTCAGTGACCAGAGATGGATTAAATCGAGCCATCATTGGAATAAACGATTCTTGGACAGATGATTTTCCTCCAGTGAACAAGTCGAATCCTATGCTGGCTGGATATGGTTCTGCCAGAAAGGAAACCAAAGTGTAAAATTCGTTTACTGTAACAAATGTGTCTTTACCTTGGGTGAGATCTGCCATTTTGACTTTTTCCAACACGCACAGATAATGAATGACACACCAGATTTATGAATGGGATAAAATGGTGATATCAATATGTGTATTGATACAAATATTGTTGGTTAAACATATGCATAGACACTTTATAATACCCACGCACACACAACGCACATATTCACATACACACAAACCCTTGTACAAAATGTTAACTCTTTCAGTACTAATCAGATGTTACTTCAACTTACTCTCTTTTCTAAGAAATTGTTAACTTTACTTATAAATACTCGGATTAGACAATTTAAAACAAAAATGTTTTGGCAAGAGAAAAGAGAGGAAAATCTGACATTTGACAAGATCTGAGCATTAAGGAAGATTCGTTAATAAACAGCATCTTGTTTCAGAAGTTGAAATATTTTGGTCTTATTAAGCGCCATGGCGGATAGGAAAAATATCATAGCAGAAAGCATGGTACCAGGAAGGAGGGGCAGATGCCGACCAACATGAAGATGGGCACAGGATATAAGTGACTATTGGAATGTGAAAGTACACGAGGCGGGAGAGCTGTCGAGAGACCGAGTTTCTTTCAGTCAGACCATGATGAGAGCGACGTTCTGCAAAGGACCTGCTACATGATGGTGAATGTTTCGGGGCAGAACAGGTGTAAGTAAGAATGGAGGCAGAGTGTGTGAAAATAATGCTTAATGGGTCATACGGATTTTTTTTTAAAGTAGATAATGGGTGTAGAAACTAACAAACGCATGGTAAGTTGCTTGGTTCCGAAAAAAGGCAATAAATGTCGGGTGATTCCATGAGCATGCATAAGAAGATAGAGACAGGGTGGATTCGAAGAAAATGGTTGGAATCGCCGAGGAAATCTTGTCTCATGGGAATTAGTTTCATTTGTGTGCCAGGACACTCTCGGGTAAGGGAATGAAGGAGCGGATTAGCTAGCCGGCAGGGTACAAAGGGTTCAGGAAAGGCAATGGGCCGGGTCGACATTCTCAAGGCTGGCAAGAAGGCAGGACGGAAAAATGGTTCAGGAGACAACGTTAAATCGACATTACTCAAAAGACATGCACTTCAAGTCAAAAGGGGTGTCGCCAAATATGAACACTAGACGTGAAACCAAAGAAGAAGAATAAACCAACACAGAACTGGTGTTTTAAGTCGCCACACGCTGAGGGATATACTGAAGATGGGAGTCGAGCGTTTACGGATTTGGCCGATGTGCAATGAGCATAATCTGTCAATGAACTAAGTTAATAAATTTATACAAACATCAAAGGTTGAACATAACTAACATTTGACTTCTACAAATATTCGAGAGACTGATGTAAAAGACACACTGTGGTGAGTACCAGCACCATATGTGTTTACCGATGGTCTTTTGCTAACCGATCAGTACTCGGTGAGTGATATGTCCCTCCTTCCTGGTACCATGCCTTCTGCTAGTATTTTTTTCCCAACCAGTCGTGGCGCTTGAAATGACCAAAATATTTCAGCTTCCGAGACAAGATGTTGTTTGTAAGCCAGTCTTCCTTGGTATTCAGATTTTCTGAAAATACCGTAACTAGAAACCAATAATAGCAAGATGCGTTGCTTGGTACTGAATGAAATATATATGTTATTGATATTGGAGCTTGTAGTCGACGTTTGGGGCAGAGAGCTTAGCATATGATACCGCAACATCCAGCTTAAGAATGGAGGTGGAGGCGGTCACTTCAGCTTTTTGCTGGCTAGAGAACACAACACACACATCGTGATTGTAACTGACTTAGAAAATATGCTGAGGAAGGTAAGGACAGGCATGATTAGTGCAGATTAGTATGCTTCGTGCAGGGTGGCATGCTTCGCTTCGGAGGTCACGGGTGAGGAGCATTGTCTGGATCTTTTCTCTGGATCATGCTGGTATGTTATGAAATTACCAGGCGGACAGACTGGCTGGCTCTGTACTACTTGGTGAAATATTGATGCATGATAAGGCAGGTGTTGTTAGGGCCTTATGGGAGTACGTGTGCACTTCGGAGGAGCAAATGGATCTCTAGTCTGGTGAGAGTGATGCAGAAGGGGGGGGGGGGGGGGAGGGTCTGGCCGATACTCGTAGCTCAGAGCAAAGGCGAGACAGACGTAAAATCATAATGTTACAGGCACCATCGGTGTTAGAACTCTTCGCTGGCTGCTGAAGATGAGGTTGGAGAGCTTATGGGAATGCCCCGAGTGCTGTGATGTCGGTTCTTGAATCAGCTCAAATCATATATGACCGATGGCTCCCTATTATAAAGTTGTTGCAGCTTCATGAAAAAGATGCACGCAGAGTTTCACCTCTCATTAGATACACTATTTTGTATTTACTAGTTGCAATAGACAGCCATAGACAATATATGTGTATTTATTTATATGTCTCTCCGTTTATGCGCCGGTATGTAAATCTATACATTGGTTCCTGCTTCTTTGGCTGTTTACCATTGACTGATAAAAAATGTAGTTGAAAGCAGATGTTCTTTCAGTCTATCTAGAAATTAGTGTTGCATTGCAGATACAGGGTTAACTACCAGATCTCGTAGATCTCTGTTTCACCTATTCTCTGTCAGCACCCTCCCTCCCCTCCCCCTTTCCTGTTTTTTCCAATGCCCCGCCCCTTTCTATTTCTTTATTTTTCTTCTCAACCCAAACTCCTTCTCATATTTCGCTATCTCTCCATTCTCATTCATCTCTCTTTTATCCATCCGGTACGTGACTGTACGTAACAAATGACCAACTTAACGCAGTAGCGTATCAGGCAAATTAAGTTAAGACTAATATTTCATCTAGACCAACTGGCCCTTGATGAGGGGTGTGGCCAACACCACACTGGCTGCTTTTACTTCTAATGACTTTACCTGGCACCCTTTTTAAACTTGGTCGACCTGGGGGAAATAGGTAGTTTTTGAAGAAAGAAAAAAACTATCCTATTCAGTCGGATGAGTACCCAAAGACTTTCAGGCTGGATTTGCAACGTTACGTAAAACTGGCACATTTTTGGGTTGAGCATTTTTGTTTTCGGCTTTATAAGTCTAAATGGCTCTGGCCAGTATATTCCATGTCAGAACGCCAACCAGTGTGTGTGTCATAATGATAAAAGCAATTAAAACTACTTGTCTTTTGAAACTACTAGTCATAATTTGCCGCCCTCATAGTTGTGCCCGCCCCCCCCCCACCCCCATCCCTCTTTTGTTTCCCCATTGTTACTTCGCTGTGCAGATAGACGTCTTGTGAATGGCTAAACACGGCCGTGCTGTAAATATATATTTAAAGTAGTTGTGACAATCACAGACAGGTCTGGAGGCTGCTGACATTTGCAGCAATGAACCTAGAGGGCTTGGAATGCTGAAGAAAATATTTTTTAATGAGGGATCAATACGGTAGAAAGAAAAAAATTTGAAGATACAATTTTTTTAAGTTTTTCTTAAAAGACAATTTACTGTTTCTTCGTCTTCGTCTTTGCGTTCACCAGCTGTAAACTCTAACGGAAAGTTCTGGTTTATTATTCATTTCTGGACTGCAGTTCTTTTCCAGAACCTGAGTGTTGCGTATGCATTCGTTTTACAGATCTGACTCATTTGTATGCAAACTGCTGGTTCCTTGCCTCTCAGGCAGATGCACTCCAACTTCAAAGGAAGCTCCCAATTAGTCGACTCTTACGACATGCTTTTGGGAAAGCAGTGGGTCTGTTCTTGTTTTCCCTATAACAGGGCCACGGAACACACACGGGAAATTTCACTGTATGATTCCGGGTAACATACACATCACCTCCCACAACATACACATCACCTCCCACAACATACACATCACCTCCCACAACATACACATCACCTGCCACAACATACACATCAACTACCACAACACACACATCACCTCCCACAACATACATATCACCTCACACAACATACACATCACCTCCCATAACATACACATCACCCCCACAACATACACATCACCTCCCAACACATACACATCACCTGCCACAACATACACATCAAATGCCACAACATACACATCACCTCCCAAATCATCCACATCACCTCCCACAACATCCACATCACCTCCCACAACATCCACATCACCTCACACAACATACACATCACCTGCCACAACATACACATCACCTGCCACAACATACACATCACCCCCACAACATACACATCACCTCCCAACACATACACATCACCTGCCACAACATACACATCACCTGCCACAACATCCACATCACCTCCCACAACATACACATCACCTCCCACAACATCCACATCACCTCCCACAACATCCACATCACCTCCCACAACATACACATCAACTCCCTCAACATACACATCACCTCCCTCAACATACACATCACCTCCCACAACATACACATCGCCTATCACAACATACACATCACCTCCCACAACATACACATCACCTCCCACAACATACATATCACCTCCCACAACATACATATCACCTCTCACAACATACATATCACCTCCAACAACATACACATCACCTCCAACAACATACATATCACCTCCCACAACATACACATCACCTCCCACAACATACATATCACCTCCCACAACATACACATCACCTCCCACAAGATACATATCACCTCCCACAACATACACATCACCTCCCACAAATTACATATCACCTCCCACAACATACATATCACCTCTCAAAACATACATATCACCTCCAACAACATACACATCACCTCCAACAACATACATATCACCTCCCACAACATACACATCACCTCCCACAACATACACATCACCTCCCACAACATACATATCACCTCCCACAACATACACATCACCTCCCACAACATGCATATCACCTCCCACAACATACACATCACCTCCCACAACATACACATCACCTCCCACAACATACATATCACTTTCCACAACATACATATCACTTCCCACAACATACACATCCCCTGTCACA